GAGAAAAGACGTTGGTATCATGTACTCTGTGTAGCAAATTTATGCTCCAGCTCTTCCAGGCAAAGGCTAGGCAAGACTGCAGGGTCCCTTTATTGGCTGTTGGGCTCACACACACACCCTGGGCCATTAATGGCATTTATAAAGCTTATCTTTTCAAAGATAGGATGATATAAAGAATGACAGAAGAGAACCACCTGAGGAGATACCCTAATTCCTGAATTTTTAATAAAGTATGGTGAAGGAATTTAAATATTGAGGTGGGAGGGGCTCCATCACATTAGTTCTAGATGGGAGAAAGTAGAAGAATGCCTGATTCTAAAGCTGCTAACCAAAAGGTCCATGGTTCAAACCCACTAGCCAAAAGAAGCGGCAATCTACTTCTGTTCAAGATTACAGCCTTGGAAATTCTCCTCGGCAGCTCTACTCTATCCTGTAGGGTGGGTCATTGAGTCAAAATCAACTTGACAGCAATGAATTTAGTTAGAGTAAGTGTTTTTGCTAGAAATTGTGCAATCTGATTTACATGAAATTTCTCTGGGAGCAGTGCGGAGATCCTCAAAAGACATTCCTATCTTAATTTGGTAATTTCATTTCTTTTAACCTATATTTGATTTGACATTGTACTGATTTTTTTTTTTTTTTAAATAACTGAGGGAGAATGGGAAGAAGTGTTCATCAGCCCTACCATCAACAATTGTCATGTGATAAAGCTGTCCTCAAAGGACCAGGATATGCTTGAATCATGGATTATTCCTGAGAAGACATTCTTAAAAATTACATTCCTCCTCATCCAGAGCAAAGAAGAATGACGAAAACCAAAGATTCATGGAAACAATTACTCCTCGTGACTGGTACACCATGCAATCCTCAGCCTATACGACTATGAGACTAGAAGAACTAGATGATGCCCGGCTACCACTGTCAACCACTCAGAGGGGGATCTATGTAGGAAGATCCTGGATAGAGAGGGAGAACATTGTGGAACAAAACTCAAAATCATTTGGGGGAAAGAAAAGGGGGGGGGGGGACCAGGTTTGCTGGTCTGATAAAGCCTGGTGGAACCACTGAGACTACAGTCCCTAGCTGTCCTTCAGGTCTAGAATTGAACCCACACCTGTGGCTTCCAGACAAACAAAAGACAGGCATAGACGTTGAACATGTACCTGAAGCAGATACACTCCTTGGAGAGAACAATCATGGGAGAAAGAAGGGCTGTTTATGCACAAGGAGACAGTTCAGGGGGCAGGAGTGCATGGAGGGATGGACATAGGGAAGAGGTAACTATCGGGAGGAAGTGGGAGGGGAGCTGTTGCACTGTGGTAAATTGCAGTCAATGTCATGAGACAACGTGTGTAAACTGCTTTATGAAAAGTGAACTTTCACCCAAATCACAATAAAAATATACATATGTATTTTTTTAAATTATATTCCTATAATTTTGGAAACAATCAACAGTCAATTTCACTGAGCTTTAAAAGGTTGTTTTTA